CAGAATGAGTCGTTACAAAACCAATTTATTTTGTGTGTTATCTCTGGACATAAAAACAATATTAGAATGTTGAGTAAAACATTTTAACCATCACTTATAATAAGCTTAACTTAGAAATGAATAGTTGAAATAAGATGAGTAGATTTGTTAAGTTTACAGTGACGTTGCACTTTAAATCGGCAGATTTCTTTAAGATTAATGAAACCAATGACATGTAGGTGTAGAAACAGTTAAAATTACAAAAAAAAATATTTTTTTTGGTCTCATCTTTATTTTTAGTTCTCTTTTTGTTCTACTTGATCATTTTTCTTTGTGACTCTGACTTCATGTCGTCTGTGAAGCCCATGAAACGTCCTGTTGGACCAGAGACCGTGGATGTAGTCCATGGATTATCAGAGTGACACGTGTAGCTGTAGCTGTAGACCAAACGAAGAGTGACACTTGTCTGGAGTTCAGGTGAATCTCGTTCATGTGCTTTCACTGGCAGATGAAGTGCTTTTGTTTACTCGTGGCTTCACTTTAACCAGCTCCGCTCGACGACGTGACGTCTGCGTTCATTTCCTGTTTATGGTCTGTGGGTTGACACGACTGAGAGGGCTGTAGATCCAAAGAACCTTAGCTGGACATCACCGTTCACGACTGAGGTTACAGGCCTCTTTAGACTCAGGTCACACGTCAGGGTCGGTCCGGTCCAGTCCGGTCCGGTCCGGTCATTTGCTCTCTCTGACTTTGATGGAGATAATCTGAACCATTGCTTGTGTTTGTGAGGATAGAAGAACCTCATCAACGCACCACAGACTTTCTGCTCATTCTTGGTTTTCCGGAAAGGGCTTTGGTCCGCATTAGTCAGGTCAGGGCGCCTCCTGCGATAAGGTGGGGAGGGGAAGGGGGGTCACTCGAGGCTGGTGGGCAGAGACCCTGAATGTTGGGGAGAGGGTGGAGATCCTCTCCTGCAGACTAATCTTACGGAACAAACAGCAACAACCCAAACAAACCCGTCTCTTTCTGCTGAATTTTTACACTCGTCAAACTCTTCATCCAACACTGCAGTGACTCACATCTTACAGACTTGCCAAAATGCATGGAGCAAGAGACATGTATCAAAGACAAAAATGTTTACCTGCAGACATCTGTGGTGGTTTTAAGTTTTATCCACTCTAATGGTAGGAACAGACAGTGAGGATGTCACTGTCCACAAAGTCCAAACAGGTCCAAAAACATGTAGAGGCTGTGGGACGTATCCTTCACTCTGAGCGCCACACCGTTATGATGCTTCTGATCTTGTATGGTGACTTCTTTGACTAGATCGACAGCATGGATCTTCCTGTAGTTAGTCCTGTGTGTGTTCCTCTCACCAGTCAACGTAGGAAGGCTGTACTTCATTGCTAAGTGCTCTATAATAGACCTTCTGGTGACTAAAATGAATTAAAATAAAAAAAAAAAAGA